CCATAAATCTGGGAGGGTAAAGGTATGAAGCATAACTCTCTTACCCTAAGAAAGAAAATAGCATCCATCACTCATGGGGTGGGTGAAGGCGGAAAGAAAACGAAACGATAAAGAGTTGCTTCACCTTGCTTCACAAGGAAGAGTTAGATGTTCCAGGGGTGGAAGTCAAAGCCCCTGGAGAGGTGATAGCTGATGCACGCCCATAAATCTGGGAGGGTAAAGGTATGAAGCATAACTCTCTTACCCTAAGAAAGAAAATAGCATCCATCACTCATGGGGTGGGTGAAGGCGGAAAGAAAACGAAACGATAAAGAGTTGCTTCACCTTGCTTCACAAGGAAGAGTTAGATGTTCCAGGGGTGGAAGTCAAAGCCCCTGGAGAGGTGATAGCTGATGCACGCTGTCCTGCTGCAGAGGCTAACCGCAAGAATGGAAGAAACAGAGAGGAGCCCTAGAAGCACATCACAGAACGAGAAAAGGCTATAATGTGAAGAGCCATCATCTTTAATTACTAACATTGTTGTAAGATACCAGAAAGGGCTGGAAAATGTCCCAGGATGTCATGAAAATCTCCAAAACCAACGTAAAGAAATAGTTGAAACTTAAGTGATGGCTGTAACCTTGAGTAATCTTGAGATAAAAGGTTTCAGCAGTTACAGTTAACAACCTAATGGCCCTGGTAGGTGGGTTTGTCCTGTTTCACGGAGGGAAAGAAGAGCAACTGGGAAAGAAGCAGCCAGACATAGTGACAGAATGGTTGGTTTCAGTAAGGTTTTTTTAAACAAATGCTTAAGCAACAGAATGAAGGTAGGAACCAGAACAGAAGTAATGTTAAAGGAATATGGCATAGCGAAGTATTAGAGGATATTCATACCTGCCCGATAACCAAGCTTAACTGCTGTATTCTAGTGTTGCTTAAAGTTAACCCTATGTAATGCACAATACCATGAAAGATGCTAACAGCTTTCCTTTAAAGCAAAGACAAGAGGATGGTAAAAATCTATGCGTAAATATAACAATGTTGACTTAAGCTGCAGTGTAAAGGCTGCCTGTTATTATAAAAAAGACACAGAGAGAAGCAGGAAAAGCAGGAATGAAGGAAAAACGTGACTGAGAATACTGGAAGCTCTTATGAAGTGAAATACTCTGGTGATCCACGTAACAAGTTGACATGAGAAGGTGCAGGCCAGTGCTGCACGTACCACTTGGCCGCAGGATAAACTTAGCTGGCCAAACCTGACATGGGGAGCCTGCAGGTTGCTTCTGTTTGGCACCTGGTGATGACGCCGTGTCCTTGTCTTTAGCTTAGAGTGAAGCAGCATATTCTCATGTGAACATCCTTTTGATTGACAGCAGAAATGACAAATAGAGTTGTTTACTTCCGAGAAAATCCTATAAGAACCCTGAAGACCATGACACTGGTGAACTTCAGCACAGACACTATCTGTGCAGCGCGGCATGGGCTGGTGCTGTACTACTTGGTGTTCCCAGCAGCTGAAGTGCTGCAAGATTATCTAATGCTATCCCCAACAAATGGTATTTTAATCAATACGTTACAGAGTCTGGGTGCCTTTCTTATTGGGATCCATAATGAACACTTGCAGAGGTGCATTACACCTCCATAAAACACAGCAGCATCTGCCTCTCTCATCACTACAGCTGGGGGGTGGGCGGCAGTCTTCCCGCCGTGGTATTTCTTCCCTGCATTCACAACCATATGGGCTTGCTCAGTTACGCCTGGTGAAAGCAGCCCTGAGGCCACTCGTCCCACCTGCAATGCGAGATCAAAACCAAATTAATCATAGAGTAAAGAAGCTGTCCTTGCTGCTACCCTCTTCTCCCCCACCAGCCGAGCCAGGCCCTCCGCTTGCCAGCTGGGCTTACACAAATGTGGGGCTGTTTCCACCTCCTCCCGCTTCCAGGAGCGGTGGTGGTGCAGTGGCTGCTGCGTGGGACGGCAGCGGCTGCGATTTCACCGTTCTTCCAAAACCTCTTCGTGCCCTGACGCCTCCTTCCCGTCCCTGCCTGCGCGCTCCTCCCAAACGCTGCTTCCCCCTGCTAAGTAACACGGGGTGTTTCTAGGCTTGTGCTTAATCCTGCTCCTCCCCCCGGGTCATCTCCACCCGGGGCATCCCAGCCATTCCTAAAGGCGTCTCTCCAAAATCCAGGGGGGTGTGTGGGTGAGAACAGGGGATACTCTTAGATGAGGGAGGGAGCCTCTGCGACTGCTCTTTGTACCAGTGGCCACAGAGTCATTCCTCAGCCACCCTAATGCTAATATTTGCACTCCTTCTATGGAGATAAACATTACAGATGGATCTGCTGCGCAGAGGCACGGCGCAAAACATGCTCCCTGCTGGCAGAAAGCACTTCCATGTGGCAGTTCTTGAGACTACCCCCACCCTGCCCTGCTTTCCCCTAGTTTCACACTGTGCCAATTTTCTGCTTGCTGTAGGAATCACAAGAGCTTTCCCAGCTCCAGTAGCCCAGTTCTTGACTTATTAGCTGATGTCATGACATCCAGACTATTCCTGCCTTCCTGTTCCTGGAAGCTCTTGTTTTCCTGGCTGGTTTTTGGACGTGCTAGCTCCTTACTCGTCAGAGCTTCTGTTTCCTTTGGGATGTACTTTTGTATGTTCCACCGGGGTGGGAATAAAAGGGGGAGCCCAAACTTCATGCTGCTTCGTCCTCCTCCACTCCGCTGGGAATTGTAACGCAGTGGGAAGTATGCACTGCCAATGGCATTGCTGACCTAACTGGGAGGAAAATTGAAATTCCACATAGGCTGTCGCAGGCGTGAGCGAGGGAGAAGGAGGAGGCTTAAGCTGTGTGTTCTGGTGCCAAAATAGCTGAGGCTGAGCTTGCTGTTAACTGCAGGGAGAAGAGACAACTGGACTCTAGGGGGAAAAAGCAGGGGGGGCTTGCAGCTAAAAAGAGAAGGACTGGGAACGGCCAAGGAGCTCTCGAAGTCTTGCTACGTGCGAGGCTACTAGAGTATACAGCCTCCATGAAGAGTCAGCGGCAGGGACGTGAGCCAGCATGGTGGGGAGGCCGTGGCGGTGCCAAGAGCTGCAGGGGAACGGAGCGGCGCTGAGGGAGAAGGTGTGAGCTGCTCCGGCTGGCGTGGCTGCGAGCTGGCAGAGACTTCTCCGTGCCAGCCCGAGTTCTCCCTGTGCCCTGGGACAAGCTTGTCCTCTCACTCCTCACGCCGTCTTCCCTGTTATGAAATGGGATGCTAATTTTAGTCCGATGGGGATCCGGAGACATTTTGCTCGGCTTCCACCAATGAAGTAAGAAAATGAAGATGCCCTGAAGGGAGGGAGAGATGCCAAGAGAGGAGGGATAAGAGGAGCCTCAGTCCCACTGTCCCTGACACACCACGACCTCTGGAGTCCTGTTTCTTCATTCTGGTTCAATATTAACCCAGCGGGGCTGTGACTCCGCTTATTCTGCTCCCTTTGCATTTCCCCTGCAGCCAGGGCTGTCCAGCATGGCGCACAACAAAACCAGCGTACTGAGGGGCCTGCTCTTTTCCAGCCTTCTGCACCTCACACTGAGCCATGCCGGAGGTAAGACTCAATGGCACAGGAAGAAGGGCAGTACCAGTGGATGACAGAAGGAAAAAAAGATGGGGTTATTTCTTTCCAGGGGTAAAGCCAGTGGCAGGTTTTCTCAGTAAGGCAGGAGAAGCTTCTAAAAGCTTGAAGTTGGGAGTGAAAGGGTGCCAAGAGTGGAGTGAGCATAGGGCTCTCCTGCACAGGAGGATGCAGCGGCGTCCAGCAGCTGGCAGGGATGGCTGGTGACAACAGCTCAGTGGATTTTATAGGGAGACGGTGGGAAAGGGGAATGTGGCTGAGCCCAGGACCTTGTGTAGCACAACTGTGGGCCTTTTTGGGCTGGAGTTCCTCAGTTGACTTGGGTGGCTGCAATTCTCCATTGCCTCCCCAGCTGTCCCTTAGCTAAACTTTAGGTCATACGCAGTATGCAGCCTTCCGGCTCGCTGCTCCCTTTCTCTTATCAGAGCCTTTACTTCATCTAGCTTTTCCTAATATGAGGTTAGGTCCTCTCTGACCCACTGCTGTGTGGGGGAAGACCTGTCTACAGGTCTCAAATCAGGGTCTCTGAACATGAAGATGGAACCAAGCTGTGCCTATCGCAGTGGTCTGAGTGGCGGGCAGGGAGCGGTAGCAGGCTGCGAGCAAACAAGCCTCTACCTAACTGCAGATGAGCAGAGCAGCTTTGCTGAGGATAGCAGGGGATTCCTGTCACTGCTGTTGCCTAAGTGATGCCAACCCTGACGGATGAGTTATAGGGAGCCTGCTCTGATCATCAGGTGGGGACCTGATGGGTCCTGACAGGGCTTCTCCTCTCTGCACTGGGGGAGACTGGGCTGTGGGATCATCAGGTCAGCTGGGTGTGATTTTTGGAAACTGGAAGGGGAGACAAAGGGCCCCTCCCGCTGCGAGCACCCCTTTGACTGGCAGTGTTCTGACCCGGTAGTTTTCCTGGAAAAGGGGGAGGCACTGTCACTGCTCAAGCGCCCACGACGTGCCAACAAGGGATTTCTGGAAGAGATGCTTAAGGGCAACCTGGAGCGAGAGTGCCTGGAGGAGACGTGCAGTTACGAGGAGGCTTTTGAAGCCCTTGAATCCACCGTTCAGACGGTACGTACAGGGGACGTGGGTGGTCCTAAGAAACCTGTAGAGACTAGGAGGTTGCACATGCAGTGAAGGGCTGAATAACACTCAGTTCTGTGATACAAAGATGAGGCTGATGTGTATGTGCCCCGAAGAGAGCTCAGGCTTCCTTAGGGAGTTTCCCTCCTGGAGCCACTCCAGGGAATGCAGCTCAGAGCTCAGGTTCTTTTCCCTCCCTCTCTATTTTAGGCATGAAGTGAAAAGGAGAGAGTCTTCCCTCAACCATCATCCACTTCCACTAGTTCAGCACGGTGCCACACACATTCAAGCTGCCACAACCCCAGACGCTCACAGAAGAGCTGGCTCAGCAACCAAACACTGAGTGCAGGTGCCTCAAGCTCCTTTGAGCTGAAGCTTTGACACAGCCTGTCCCTTTTTCTGGCTTCCAGACTCACTCACTCTGCTAAATTTGTTCTGCATCCTTTTGGGATTTGCTCCTAGCCCCAAGGCCAGTATCCGTGCTGAATTCCACACCCAAGAATGCAACAGTAAACACATGAACAGTTAGGAGTCTAAGCCAGCAAGATACAACCTCTGTGGAGTATTTCTAAAGCCATCACCCCTAGGCTGCACAGCAGAGATGTAGATCCAAATCACTGAGCAATACCTACATGCGATCTGTGGCTTTAGAAGTTCTAGGTTCAGCTCCTTGGACTTCTGCGCTGTAGCACAGGCTCTGCTTCCTCTGCAGGTTGACGAAGGTTGTAAGCATCTTTGGTCTTTTTAGAAACAACAGTACTCTCTTGCTTCCTGAGTCTGATGAGTGGGAACGTGCTTTTATATCAGATTTGTTGGACTCTGTAGTAGTTGATATCAACAGAGCTAGGTTAGTCTGTTCCATTTGTTGTGATGGGGCATTCTCCTACTGGTTTGAATTGCAGCAGCTAAGTAAGGTCTGATGTTCCATGTCTCTATGTGTAAATATATAATTTTTTTTTTTTTTTTTTTTTTTTATAGGAGGCATTTTGGTCAAAATACCAAGGTAAGTTGCTTCAAGTCCTGCAGGTGCTCTGCTATCCCTTAGGATGCACTGTCCCACCCTGGAGAGATAGCTCCTTACCCTCTTACAAGAGCTCACTTTCCGGGACAAAGCACTTGTGTTTTGTCCCTAGATGATAAACTGGTTCAAACTATGATGCTTATTTGGATTCCTTTCATATAATGTGTTTCTTTCTTCTTATTTTGCTAGTATGTCAGGGCCTGAGAAAGTCCAGGACAGTTCTGGATGCTTGTCTAGAAGGTAAGAAATTCATGTTGACCTCAATCTCCCAGATACAGTGAGTGCCAGGAACTTGCTTTGTCAGGAAAAAAAAAAAAATCATCTAAAGGTGGTGAAGCCATCTGATTAGGAAGAAAAGTAGCAGGAGGGGAGTTTGAAATTCCTTTCTTCTTCTTTATTTCCCCACTAACCATTTCACAAACGGCCTAACTCCCCCGTTGAAACCGCGTGGGGTAGATATCCTTCTCCCCGTGACAGAGTCGGGCGTCCCCAAGCCCAGCCTCTCAGAAGGGCTCTGACCTGCGCCTACAGCCAAAGCAAAGCCTCGGGGCGATGAGACAGAGAGAGCTTAAGCTGTGTGCTCTTCCCACCCCATGCAGGGAATGCCTGTGCTTGTGCAGGTTGATACATGCAGCAAAAGTTAAAGGGATTTGTGGGATGGTACCTCTGACCTTGAAAAATGCAACGTCCGTTTCCCCTGGCCCTGGCTTACACCACGTCGGGATTTTGACAGGTAACTGCTCTCTTGGTCTGGGCCAGAACTATCGGGGGACAATTAGCTACACCAAATCAGGGATTGAATGTCAAGTGTGGACAAGCAAATATCCACATATACCTAAGTAAGTTCATCTCCTGCACACCCCTAAAGGGTTCTCCAGGGTGTTCTTCCTTCCTAACCTAACCAGCTTTTTCTCACAGATTTAATGCCACCGTTTATCCAAACCTCACTGAGAACTACTGCAGGAACCCAGACAACAACGCAGAAGGCCCATGGTGCTACACCCGAGACCCAACGGTGGAACGGGAGGAGTGTCCCATCCCAGTGTGCGGTAAGCCTCAGCACTACACCCCAGCAAACCCTTCACTGGCAGGGAACGTTGCACCGAGACTGATACTGAATGCGTCAAGGAACGGGAGAGGGTCAGAGGGAGGGATCTTACATGAACAGAGGTCAGTCGGAGTAGAGGAGCTGCGTCTTGAAGGGTAAAGGAGCTGAGGAGGAAAACTCACCGAGTTGCCCATACATCTATCTTGGCTAAATTCCTCCAATGTGCCGTTTTCTCTAGACTACACTAATCTAGATCGAAATTAAATCCTGTGTCAGCAGTGCCCTGGAATCTACTACAGTTTTGCCTGTCAGGAGCACCCCAAAATGCTGGCTCAGCTACCTCTGATTTGTGACAGCAATGAGTCATACTGGGTTTTTTTGTCTAAACTCCCACCTTTAGGACAAAACCACTACAGCTAGTGCTTGACTGCCTGCCTTAACGTTAACTGGTATGGAGGGGTGCAGTTTAATACCCACAATCTCAAGAAAAGAGAAGAGAGCCCTTCTCTCATCATTGCACTTGACAGGATGGAGAACCACCCCCCTACACTTATACCTTCCCACTTCTTCTCCACAATACAGAGCTGTCTCCCCTGGGGCTTGGCCTCCATCTCAGAAGAACTGGTAGAAAGCAGAGAACCTTCTCACAGCAGAAGTTTCTCTTCCAAAAGCAGAGACTAGAGGCAACGACTCTTATAAGTGAAAGTCAGAGAGGCCAGCAACCATTTTGACCAAGGGGTGTTGTTCTGAAGTTTTAAAAATCATTACCATTGCCCTGATCTGCAATATGGCAAACTGGAAAGAGATACTGCTCTGCTTTGGGGTGATCAGGCATCAGTACTATCTCTGTTCACGAGTTAGTTTCTGACCTACAGTAGCTTACTGTTAAACTTACCCATGCATGGACACGGCAGGACTAGAAAAGCCTTGGTTTTGTGCACAGTTCCTTTGCAATCATGTTGGCATGAGTCAATCTCGCACAGAAGCAGCCTCACTGATGAAGGTGAATGCTACTTGCTCAGTGGCTGTTGTGCCCCAGGGCGAGTAGTCAAAGACAGGGTCTCTCTTCACGTGGGGATTCCCCCAGCGCACAAGGAGAAGGCAGCTTGAAGGCAAGCAACTGCCGCAGAACAGATTATCTGGTGCCCACTCACTCAAGGAAATGCTGCTTAAAACTTGCAGCCATTAGGACACTTGCAAGAAAAAGTGTGGAAAGTCTGGCAGGAAGATTTTTCTCATATCATTAGATATAGAAACATTGGCAAAAGTTAAATTCGCTATTTTAGTAGCATATCACGGTAAAAGGCTCCCCCAAATATGGTCTAGATACGCATTTGAGAAAGAGGCATTGGAGGCTCTAATACAGCACATTATGATGCCTGAGGCACCTACCCATCCCTTGAGCTGGTTCTCAAAGATACCCCAGAAAGGAACACAATATTGTCCCCTCACATCTTAGTGGCAAAGAGAAGTGTGATGAGTAGTGCCAGCCTCACCTTATCTCCTCTTGAAAGAGCCACCTCTGACACTGCAATATTGTAGAGGGCCACCACATGCACGGGAGCACGGTGGGAACCCCCAAACATAACGGGATGCCCCATGGAACTCTGGGCTTTACTAAAAGGGCTCCGGTGCTATTTGCTAACAGTACTTCTGAGTGAAAGCTATGGCTTAAATCACATCTCTTTCTCTTTCCAGGTCAAGAAAGGACGACAGTTGAATTTACTCCACGGGTCACACCACCTGCCCCAGTGGAGCCCTGTGAAGAAGAGAAAGGCATGCTTTACACAGGGACCCTCTCGGTCACTGTGTCTGGAGCTAAGTGCCTGCCGTGGAACTCTGAGAAAGCCAAAGAGGTGCTCCATGGAAAACACATCGACCCAGAGGTGAAGCTGCTGGAGAATTACTGTCGAAATCCCGACGGAGACGATGAGGGTGTCTGGTGTGTCACAGATGAACCACCCAACTTTGAATATTGTGATCTGCACTACTGTGGTGAGAAGCCTGCATTGGTTTGGGTAGGCACACTTGCGAGGCAGTAGCAAACAAAAGCAGTATGTGAACAAAATCTTGGCCTGGGAGGCACAGATATGTGCACCGTGTATGTGGAAGTCCTGTTTGTCCAAATATCACATGTACTAACCTGCCAGACACGTATAGAGCTGTTACATCTCTCAGGTGTTCTCTTCTCCCTGAAAGCTCACAATGGTGGACAAGGAGCATTAAAAAGAGCAGTGGTTTTAAAACATCATTCCTTCATCAGATCCACTGTGTGCAGAACTGAACATCTACATTGCTGAGAATTATGGAAACTGCAGCTAGGCCTTTTACCATGTTTGTTTTTCTGTCTCTCTCAGACAGCTCGCTAGACGATGGGAACGAACAGTTGGAGGGAATATCAGGACGTAGTACGCTTCCTCAAGAGTTCAAAACCTTCTTTGATGACAAAACTTTTGGCTCAGGTGAAGCAGGTGAGCAAGAACTCCAGATACAGCATCACAGTTTGTAGAAAGGCTACAGATTCTTCCCACAGGGCACTCACTGTTCCTCAGAAACACCAGCTTGCTAAATGCTGTCAAAAGCGGGGGGAGATATTTAAATTCCTTGAAGGACCCTCAGAAGTCAATCTCCAGTTACGATCACGGAGCTAGTAGGCATTTCCTTCCTAGGCTCTTCCAGCTTAGCATGCTGACTGCAGACAACATTTCTCCACTGTGAATAAGGTAGAGTAACAAAGCCAGATTGCCTATTTTTTCAGAGTGCGGCACTCGTCCTTTATTTGAGAAGAAAAAGGTAACGGACAAAGGTGAGAAGGAGCTGCTGGAGTCCTACGCAAAAAGCAGAGTTGTGGGTGGGGACGATGCAGAAGTTGGCAGTTCCCCCTGGTAAGTGTTATCTTTGCATAGTCCTTCATGGGGAATTGTGTCTCCCTTCTCTTCAGTTCAAACAGGGCAAAATAAAAGGGCTCTCTCATCTCAGGCAGCACGCGGGCATTACGGCTTCAATTAAAGCTTCTCCAAGTGGTTGACAGGGCCGTACTAAAATAGCTGGAAACTCTCCTCTTGAGCCGAGTACGCAACCATCTGGGAAAGCAGGAGTGCTGGCGTGTTTTACCTTTGTCTCTTCCTCTTTCCAGCTTTGCTGGAGCAGAGAGGATGAGAAACCTCTCCAGGTGAAGGAAATAGGGTAAATGGCCTACTAAACAGAATATACATGCCCAGGGAAGACTTTTGCTAGAGAGCCACCTATGCAGTTGTCTTCGTCAGTATAGTGCAACGCTTTTCCCTGCTCACTGCAAATTCAGCTCTTTCTACACGACACCAAGACACATTCAGCCAGTCGCGCCTTTAGTCCTGCTAAGTCTTCCTCCCTCCTTGTCTCTCAGGCAGGTGATGCTCTACAAAAAGAGTCCTCAAGAGCTGCTGTGTGGTGCCAGCCTCATCAGTGACAGCTGGATCTTGACTGCTGCTCATTGTCTTTATTATCCACCGTGGGACAAGAACTTAACTACAAATGACATCTTGGTGCGGATTGGCAAGCACATAAGGGCAAAGTAAGAACCTGGATGAAGTGAGAGTGAAATAGCCTTCCTCTTGGAGTAATGAGATACAATGAGGTTGGGCTATCATTCAGTATCCAAGGACACGTGTATAGCCAGTGTCACATGCTTCTCAATAATGGGATCTAATGGAGTTGTCATTTGCTGCTCTTGCTGACGATCCTAAAGATTATAGTGAAAGGGAGGGCAGAAGCATGGAAAATCTAAAGTTGCTACTGTACAGCGAGTTCTTTCCTTCATGACCATTTCAGATATGAAAAGAATAAAGAGAAAATTGCTCTGTTGGATAAAATCATCATCCATCCCAAGTACAACTGGAAAGACAACATGGACCGAGACATTGCACTCATGCACTTGAAGAGACCCATCATCTTCAGTGACTACATCCATCCTGTCTGCCTGCCTACCAAAGAGGTCGTGCGGAGGTGAGGAGGCTGTCCCACAGTCCTAAAAATGCAGGCTAAAAAGCCTCCTTTGGGCCTTTAAAAAAAAGGTCAGAAAAAGATGCCTTACTTAGGCTATTTGCAGCAAGGGAGCCAGGCAGGAGAAAGCTCTTACAATACATTTGATTATAATCATGCTTCCTTCCACAGGCTGATGCTGGCAGGTTACAAAGGGCGAGTAACTGGTTGGGGAAACTTGAAAGAAACATGGGCCACTAGCCCAAGCAACCTCCCCACAGTTTTGCAACAGGTCAACGTGCCCATTGTAGACCAAGTTATCTGTAAGGCATCCACCAAAGTTAAAGTCACTGACAACATGTTCTGTGCAGGTAAGTAGCACTGGAGACACAAGGCCAACTTGCCATGGAAGACAAGGCCTCTGAGCTCCTGGTAGGGCTCACGCAGCAAGGTCACGTTCTGGTAAATTTGTAAATGCCCTCCATAAAGAATAACTCTCCTACGGTAAGAGCTTTTTCAGCTCTCAGAAAACATGAAGGCTAGGGAACTTAAAGCTATAAATAAAGTTTGTAGCACCATGCTATGTCGGGCTAACTAGCCTAACGGCACCGCTCTGCTAGATACCAGCAACGTATAAAATTATCTTTTCACCAGTATATGGAACAGTACAGTGACTTCCTAAATTAAAGGCTGCACACCAGTTATCCTACACAGTAGCCAAACAACCCTTTCTTCTCTACTAGCTTGTCTCAACCTTTTGGAGTCCATTCATACTTACACCCACAACTTCTGTGGCAATAGGCTCCACAGACTAGTTAGCCATGTGTGAAAAATGTAATTCCTCATGTTCTGTTAAATTTCCTGTCTAACAAATTTGAAGACGTACACATCTATACTCATAACTTAAGAAAAAATATTCCTTCCCCATGTCATATGCCATTTTAGGGACCCTTTACAGCTCTGTCATTTTCTCTTCCAAGCTCAGAAGCATTTATTTAATCTTTCCTAATACAGAAGGCATTCTATACTTCTGATAATCCTTGTTGTACCTTCCTAAATCTCTTCTGGCACTACACCCTTTTTGAGAGAGAATAGAAGTGAACACAGAATTCAAGATACAAAGGGACTATGGATTTATGTACCCGTTTAATACTTTCTGCTGTATTCTTCATTTGTGCAGACTTGTTCAGTTCCTGCAAGCAATCCTCCAACGATTTTTGACTGAGTTTGTGCTTGAGTTAGGATGGAAGCCAATTTCGTGAATATACTGACAATACAGCATTCTTACGGTTTCTTTTTCTAGACAACATTCTTGAAAAATAGCTGAGATGCAGACATACAGCAGAAAAGGGGAGACACAGGTGATAGGAAAATGCAAAGATACTGTCTAGTTCATCAGGAATTAAAGCGAAATCCCTTTCCTCTTCATAGCGAGACTGTAGGAAGACAGTCAGTTGGGAGAGAGAAAGAGCAGAGCCTGCAGAATGACAGGAAGGTGAAAGTGAGGACGGCGATGTGTCTCTATAGTAAATAGAATGAAAGAATAGGGTACATGGAATATTACACACACAGAAGTTTCTAAGACAAGAGAAAGGCACAGTAGCTCAAGCTACAGCTGTTGGACACAGTGGCAGCTGACACTAACAGCAATTCTGATGAAAGAAAACAGGAATGAGAGCGCAGAGGGTGGAAAAATATGGTGGATCCAGGAATGTTACAAAGACAGAAGCAGAGTTAGCTGTTTTACATATAATACAAAAACCAAAGCAGTTTTCTAAATTTAAGTCCAATAGTTGGCAGAAGCAGTAAGCAATCTCATGGCTCCCAGAACATCTATGCAGCAATACTTCAAGGAAAAGATGGCCAACACCAGCCACTCCCCCTACAGTCAAATGTCCAACTTTCTTCTTGCCTGTAGGTTACAGTCCTGAAGAGACAAAGAGAGGAGATGCCTGTGAAGGGGACAGTGGGGGACCTTTTGTAATGAAGGTATGTTCAACAAGTTCAAGCTCGTAAAACATGTGGAGCTAGGTTTGTGCTATGCTGAACTTTCACAATAGTCTAAAAAAGAGCAGCAGAGATGGAGACTGCTGAGTGGCTGAAGCAAACCCATCTCATGCCCAAGCTGAGCAACTGAGATGAACCCTGCACTCATCCAGCCCCATTTCTGTACTGAGTTCTCAGCACATACAGAGATCAGCTGCAGAACGCATGAGTGATGGCCAATTCTCACTTAGAGGTTTAAAAGTAGAGACAAAATTACTCCAACAAGCTATGTTATCTAGCAGATGCCAGTCTGAATTGCGAAGCAGTATCCATCACTAAACAGGCTGGGCTGCATACAAGGCTTAGATCTGACAGTCTCTTGCTCCTTGTGCCAATCCCATTTTTCTTTGCTTTAGAACCCAGACAACAACCGTTGGTATCAAGTGGGAATAGTTTCATGGGGAGAAGGCTGTGACCGAGACGGCAAATATGGATTTTATACCCATGTATTCCGCATGAAAAAATGGATGCGAAAAGTCATCGAAACACAATAGAGGAAGTGTTTACCTTGCTTGCTCTCAGTTTTGCTACAATGCTCCAGTTCTTAAAAACATAAGCATAGAAGATGATGAAGTAAGACAGTTAAATCCTTACAACTCAACAAAACAAAGTATTCTCCCTTGAAAATAAAAGTTCTGAAACCCATTTTCTTCCTTTTTTTCATGCCGAGTTTAGTTGCACTTGAATCTAAGCCATCACAGTAGCCAGGAGTACGAACAGAATGGCACTAGTTGTACTGCTAATTACCTGTTGTGCTTCAAACAAATTCTTCTCCCTTCTATCAGCTATAATCACCAACAGATTTTAGACCTCAGATGATGGCCTTAAGTCAGTCACAGTAAGTACGATTACGCCCTCAGGCACTGTCCATTTCCTCCCTTCAAGTCAACTCATTTTCTGTTCTAGAAATCGAGCCAAGACTGTACTGGAGATAATCACCCTCCAGGAACTGTGGCATTACACAAAACACCAATACCAATGTCAAAAGTAAAGCAACTATAACCTGTTTTGATAAGACAGGCATTGTTCTCAACTACAATAGCAGACGACAAATACCAGCATCGCTGTTTGCAAGGTTAGCATCTTAAGTTACAGATGCCAGCTGTATGCAATTCATCCTACAGAGGAACACGGGCTTGAACACATTAAGTGGCACTTCCATTACTGTATGGCAGTAACTTTCTACGTGGCAGGTGGTGTGGGTTCCTCAAAATGTATTTTCCACCTGCATAACGAGATTCAGAAGGAAGCAATTCACGCACAGTCATTGTCAAAAGGGCCTCCAATGGAAGCATCCTGCACTATACCTGTTTGGTTGTCTTATAAAGCCTGTTTAGGGATCACTCCCAGAAGCAGCTCAGTTCTTTCATAAACTCCTCTTTAGCAGCAATTTGTGGACCACTGAGGACCCAGCAGTACAGCAGTAAACACATAGTCTTGACTAGCCAATTTGTTCAGACCAATTTTCTCTTAAAGTAATCATGAGATTTGGAAACTGCCCATGCTCCCTATGACACCACATTCCCAAACTCCTCATTCACAGTGCCATCAAATCACAGAAACAGGCAGCAGTGAAATTTTGTTGTGCGGAGTATTAAGAAGCAGAGTGACTGTGTTGAAAAAGTGACAGTAGAGGTAACTATCTGAAAGTAGTTGGATATAAACAAAGTTACTGATCAATTACTGTCTGGCCACCTCCTTGAAGATGGCTCATTTGGGAACCAACTTGAAGACAGCCCAATTTGACTGCCCAAAGAAAGCATAAAAACAACGTCTCAAAGACATCTGATGAAAGAAACCTCAAGAGCTCGAGTTCCATGACTGTTTAAAGTCATTGATAACCACAGGCATTGGACGCTGAAAATACTTAGCCCTTCTAATTTTTAAATTTTAACCTCACCCTTTCACTGCTATCTAATAATCAGTGAGAAATTGCATATCTAAGAGGGGAACCAGGACCATACAGTTTCTGGAGTAAGTTACTCTTAATACTGACTTGTTACAAACAATACAGAGGAATAATTTTTAAAATTCAGTTTAATGTTATTTAAATATTGTCTGGGCTAAAGATTAGGCTTTATTAATTTATGTGCACAAGTTTTAGTTCAGAACTCCCAGGATATCGAGTCCAACCGAACACTACAGAGACACAGGGCAAAAACTCATTCATAGTAAGCAACTATATCTTCTGCTACTCAATTATTCCTGTATTTCACTTCCAATTCAGCTTCAAATTGAAAATAGTTGTATATGCAGGTTTGCAGGCATTGCTATTTTAACATCCTGAGCTAATTAACAAATAGCTCTTCAGAACATCTGCTGGACATGGTAAAGGAACATATGGATTAATTTAAATGTCATCAAGTCTCAAAAAGCAGCTAGTAATTGAGAGGTAGTGGCAGTAACTCTAGTGCCAGCCAACACAAACTATTCACAAACAGCCCCCGTTTACGTGCGCAAAACCTCAGCACTTACCAATAAGGGCCAAGCCTCCACTTGTCATACAGTTCTGTTCCACAAGAAAGTGCATGCCCACTTCAGGTTAGGAGGGGAGACTGCGACTACTAAATCGAGGTGGTGGAGCAATGAATGGCCTCATGTCAATTAACACAGGATGGAGAACACTCGCAAGTCACCTGCTATCACAGTGTACAAAGCACCCAGCAGTATCATGTCAACTGCAACCCCAGCCTCGGGGTCCTGTAAAAGGAAGATTTCAGCCATTTGCAGAAGCTCTGGCGTAGATCTGTTGTACAGGTACTAATTTAAAGCCACATTTTTACTTTAATCAGGCAAGATAGTTTCAGTAACAGCCCTAATGCAGAGACTGCTGGTCCACAGAGCAAACAACAAAAAGCAGCAGTTACGTGGAACAGATTAAAATCTAGAGCAGAAGCGTGCTGTTTCAAGCCTGCCTGTTCAACTCTTAAATAACTCTGTTTTAGCTATGGAACAGATGTGCAATTTATGTTTCACAACCAGCTCTCACATGGAAGTGCAGTAGTAAGGTGAAAACACATCACCTCCCTAGAGATGAAAGGGTTAGAAAGGCTACACAGCCTATGTCTTAATCTTCATACTTGTAGCTTCTGAAAAAGGCTAATCAGAAGACACTCTTAGAAAAAAAGCAGGGGCTACAGCTTTTGCAGACTAGCACTACCAGGTGTCTTAGTTATACAAAATAGTAGAGTTTGCTGACATCGGATGTTTAAGAGCAAAAAGAATGTGGTGGCGAGGTCTACCTGCACTTGAAAACTGCACGAGGAAGACTGCTTAACCAAGTAAGTTCAGGATAAATGAGTCCGCTGACTGTACATCACTGCTAATCTATTCCATATCAACAGCAGCAGGCTCCCTCAAAGAAAGCATTTGTACACAGATGGGACTATGCTTAAGCTGGGTAAAGGCATCACAAGGACTAGATAATTTAAAATAAGCATTTCAGCAAACTAAATATTCTCAACTTACTCTCAAGTTACAGAAACATATTCCAAAACAAAAAAAGCAACTATATGAAAAATGCACTACTGCTCATAGAAGTAAGAGTGCAAAGTCTCAGGATTGCACCCACAGATAAGTATATATTCACTCATTTCCTTATAACATATCCAAACCCCAAGGTTCATGTCAAGCTTAGTTCAGTTTCTAGACGCCCAGTCACTAGCATTCAGGAATAGAGAGTGACTTCTCTAACCAGCAGTCACTGCTGTTCCTACAGAGGCTGGTATAGTTAATGCAAACTTTATTTACAAAAGACACTTAAATTAGTTACTTCATGCCATGTGTCCATACAGAATCAACAGTTCAAGGATTACATGGAGAAGAATTCACAAAATTAAAAGTGAAATCACTAAAGATCTTCTAAGAGTTAAGAACTAGGAAAAGATCTTAAAGACAATTTTACAAATAAAAAAACAAGTTATGAGAAACTAGTCTGAGCAAGAGGATGGTTGTTTACAGGTCTGTACACTAAAACTAATACACAGACAGCCTTCTATTGTCAAAGAGATGCTCATTGAGAAGCAGAGTATGTACAAATACTTGTGCCACAATGACTCAACCCCCCCAAAATCCACTGTATTATACATAAACCAGTTTGTATACATTAGGCCTAAATGAGGCCATTTAACTATGAAGACTTCTAGTTTAGTAAACTAAAGCTGAAGACAGCCCAAGCAACAGTGATGCTGTCTCTCTCGCATCTCTATTTGCGACTGCTTTTTATTCTCTCCAATCTTTTTTTCAAGTCATCAATGTTAGCTGCTGCAGAAGAGGGTGAAGCCAGGGTAGTTCCAATGCCAGAGGAATGAGTCTGATTGGAGTCCAGGTCCAGATGTTGGTACTGCTCCCGTGACTCACGGAGCTGGGAGAGCTTACTGTGAAGCATATCTGTAGAGGATGCAACTGTAGGGACTGCTGGTTTAGAGAGCAGAGACGTCAGAGGTGGTCTGTCTTCCTGCTACAGGGGAGGAAAGTGAAGTGTTAAGACAGATAGTGGCAAAAGCCACATAAGAAGTACAAACCATAATCAATGGCTTTTCATCTTCACAGGTAACACTAAAAACAGAGGAAAGAGAAGGAGCAATACAACACAGATGATCTGGAGTGATAAAATCTGTTGCCATCAAAGTCGGAACCATGCAAAGCTAACTACAATACTCAATTGCTATCATTTAAGTAGTTCATGTTTAGCTTGATGTCAGTAGGGACACAACAGAACTACAGTCTTTAAAGATCAAAAATTCACAGCAGACCAGTGTTTTACTGAGATAGCCTACTGCATTCTTGAACAGCCTGAATTCTACCACAAGAAGAAAGTCCATGCCTACGTGCAGCATCAGCAGCCAATGAGTCTTCTGGAGGAATGAGAAGAGGAAACTTGGATTGATTGGCAAGATCCACCCTGCCAAAGACTTACAATGTCAATTCAGTGTTCTTTTACCAACCGATACTTCCATCTGCGTTAATTACCTTGTTACTATCATCTAGGAAACATTTCCCCTCCTCGCTGATATGCAAGTTTGTGTTAAAAGTTAAAACAGTGATGTGCCTGGATGACTATTCCTAGAGCAAACATCACTTTTCATGTGGCTGAGTGCAAACTTCAGTAATGGGCACTAGGTTCCTAACACATAGATCACCAAACTGTTAGAAATTTTGGCCCACAGGTTTCCAATACTAAGCTCATTCAGCATTTCTGTGCCTCAGTATCCATACACCCAAAATACATACAACTTCATTCAAAGTTTTCATTCAGCTCTTATGGTTGTTTCAGAGCAGAAAGATCTAGAATTTCCACATCATTCAACTCAAACAGAGATCAATATATGTTAACCTTTATAGAACAGCAGTTAAGTTATTTGAACCTTTCTGAGACTCAAGGACGTGGCAAGGAAAGATATCAAACGACAGGGCTGTAGAAACAACCTGCATGTACACCAGTGCTGCAAACAGAGTGGACTGAGACATAAACCTGCTTGGCCAAGTAATGTGTTTAAAGCCATTTATACTTGGCATGGTGACACACAGTAAATAGCTAGGACATGCAGTATAATGAAATACCATCAATTCTCACTGGAATCCGCCTTTGGCACAGAAAAACCAGTCATTTGAATTCTTAAAAAAAGTGCAAATGAAGTGCCTCCC